AAAAACGGATACACACGCACACATAGAATAATTGAACACATCGTATATTTCTTAATACTTATTAATATATTAATTTTGTATTGCTATCTCTGATATTTTTTCTTATAATTCTTTTTCCCGTATATATCTCTTATATTTCTCTTCAATTTATTGATTTATTTGTCGCCAATTTGTTAATTTGTTTTTTTCTCTCGTATTTCTTTCAAAAACAAAATCGATTCTAGAATATTTTGCTACTACATTTAACGCGATAAACATATTGGATTTTTTCTGAAAAACCATTTGGAATGTCGAATTTCAGAATAATCAAAGGATTTGATTCACACGCACATACACACACACACGCGCGCGCGCGCAGCATATGTGTAATTGTTTTTTGTTTGTTTTTTTTCTTTAGTTTCCGCGCTAATGCGCGGTCAAATAAATTTTTTTCTGTTTACAACGCGCGAAAACTCGAAGCATTTTGCAAAACCTCTTAATTAATAATTTTCACGCTCCAGAAACTCGCGCGCGCATTCTTTTTCTGCGTAATGCGCACCAGCTGCGCGCGCCAGATTACGTTACATTGTATTACGCGGAGATAATAACGCGCAAACGTACCAATAATTGCGTTAAATGTTGATTAGGCACTTCGAGTAGCCTCAGAAAGAGAGAGAGAGAGAGATCGTTTATAGACACAATTAGCTTTCCTTTCGAACCGATGCTTGAGCAACGTTACGATTTGCACTTACCGCGCTATAATAATATTCCGCGGTTGTTTTTTACGTTACAAAAATTGTTATTTCCGTTATTATAAACAATAACGAGAAAGAACGGTCAATAATACACAGAAGAGCGCGTGTTCGAAAACAATTTTTCGACGTAAATTTGCTTATACACGATATAAAACGACATATTACGTTGCGGTGCGTTGCGCGAAAAAAAAGTTATTTTTCTTTTTTATTAAATCAATATTTTCAACATGTGTTTTGTGCGCGTAGTTTTATTATTATTGTGTAAAAGCGACGTCGGTTGAAAACAATCTTATTGTTGTTTCGAAAATATCGACCGACGGGAAAGCCGAACACGCTCTCGAAACCGTGGAATCACCAGCCCGGACGTTGGCAACGATCGGCCGATGGACGCAAACGAATTAATTTGCCGCTTTCTTGAGGAAGAATGTGTGGCACAATAATTATATTACTCTATTGCATCGCGTTGACCGTGTTCGACATAGCGTACGCGCGTATCGGACCCGCTTTTTCTTCCTCGACGAGTCGCGTACGCGTGTAATAATGCACCGCGTCATCCTCTCTCTCTCTCTCTCTCTTTTTGTTATTTTTATTTTCTTTTGGCTTGCTACCTCTTTATATGCATTTTCTTTTTACATATCAATTCTTTTTTTTGTCTGCATTTTTATAATTTTCTGCTCTAACTATTGTTGCTATTGTTGTGTGTTGCGCTTAAGGGGATCTTATCCCAGAGCGCCTAATAAATGATGCTTTCTCTCTCTCTCTCTCTCTCTGTTTCTCATCGGAGAAACTGCAATCTGCTAGTAAAAGCGGCCGATTAAGATGAGACGCAGAAGATTCGCTCCGCGAGGAAGAGCCGCGCCTCTATCGTTTTGCTCCTCAGCTCTGCCTCACATGCTATCCGCGTGAGTCAACAACCTTTGCTTCTCCAAGGAGCCGCGTCGACGGAACAGCTCCGATTCAGGTTGCCGATGATGTTCACTCGTAAGCTCCTTTTTACGAGCATCACATACTCGTAATTACCTCTGAAGGTGATTTCAAATGCTAGCGCGAGTTCGAGTTAAAAGTTACATCCCGTATATACGCATACGCGAAGATATTATTTCTCTGTAAATAATAAATAAAATTGTTTTAACAGCATTTGTGGAGCGATCGCGTTCGAATGTTGTCAATCGTTTGTAACATTAGCGAATAAGTTTCGTAAACAGCACGTAAACAGGGCGTGAGCGATCTCGATGTGTTTTTGTGCTGACACATCGGTAATTATCGTTCGTTCTCGATTGAAAAACTAGAATGCGAATCTCTCGTGGACGGAAACAATCTCGTTCTCTCTGTCTCTCTCGACTCGTAATCACTTCGGCCAATTTTCGCTTTGCCAAGTTACGTCGCGCGACAATAAATTCGCTCGCCGCAATAAAGTTTCGGTTTTTACGCGCGCGCGCGCGCACACACAACATAAAGCGTTAACGTAAATATGTAGGTCAAGCGATTGATTTATCGTGAGAGTATTTGTCGGAACGCGCGCATTATCGTTCGTGCTTCTTAAGCGCGTAATCTAATCGCAACGGACAACTTGCCGCTGTCCGTTTCGAACGTCTTGTTCTGAAAATTATACTCGCGCTATTGTTCATTCGTTTATTTATTCGCCGGTTTAAACGCGATGGAAACGCAAACGCGCGCTTCGCGGTGTTTCTTGTTGCAGCTGTGTGTGTACACACACACATGTACATTCGGATAGAAACGGCGCGTTAATTGCGGTTGCAACTTAGTTATATTGCGTGCGCTCGTAAGGAAGAAGCCCTCGGGGCGTTGCACCAGAAATTGCGTCGTATTTTAACATCGGCGCGCGCGAAACCCGCGTTGCGAGACGTCAGAAATTCATTTAAATCCCACTAATGGGAAAATAGGTGTACATACAAAAAGCAATCGTCTCGAAATGTCTTCACGTTCGACTTCTATTTTCTTTTGTGCGCTTTGTTACGTGCATTTTAAATAAGTGAAATATCATCAGCCTCGATCGACAAACGTCAGTCGCTACTTTTCCAACACATATCGCGTTTTCCACTTGAAAATTTCACCGCCGCGCGCAATCAATAATTAACGCGCGCGACACCGAGAGTATCGCAATTACAAATACACACACACACACACATTGGCGATTAAATTATTTGCCACAAAGTTGCGTAAAATATTCAACACACCCACACACGCACGCTCGTTTCAAACATTGATGTAATTCCTCTCGTTTGGCGTCGCTCGGTAAACAACATTACATTTTTGATAAGATAAGAGCGCAGCTGTTAAATTTCAGAAATTCAATAATAATATATATGTATGTGTTTTGACCGATTGCGAGCTCGCTCTCTCGCTCGTTCTCAATGTCGCTTCGCAGCCAAAATATTATTTTTTCACGGTTTGTTTATCCAAATATAATATCGAGATAAAAATACCGATGTTTAATTTGGCTCTTCGTTTGCGTGCCGCTATTGACGCGAGACTTTATCTAATCGATCGATCGATCGATCAGATCGGTAGAAGAAATCAAACGTTAATAATGTAAAAGTTTGTCGAGTTATAAATAAACTTCGTGTCACATGGAGATGGTAATTTTGTGTGTGCGTTAAATATATTTTATCTTCGAAAAAGTCACGCGCATGAGAGAACAATTGCGTAATATTTTGATACTACATATATTGCGCACAATGTTTGTACGGAGTGAAACCAAACGAGACACAACAAGCGCTCAATTTTGTGTTAATTGTTAATCGATGACAAAGCAATTAAAACGCAACGCAGACACAATAATGACACGTTCGTTAATGCAATCGCTCAAACGCGCGGTTATTGACGGAACGAGTCGAGAAAGAGTCGACTTTTATACGTGCGTGCAAAATTTGAAAAGTAAATGTCTATTTATATAATACCGTATTGCAACAGAGTACACGCGCGTTGCTCCGCGCGGCGGTTCGCTGTCGGGTTTCGCCGCGCGAAGCTATTAATGAAAATCTAATGAATTTCTGATTCGCGCGTTTCGTCTCCGCTCCGCGGAGGAGCGTCGATTCGCGAGGATCGTCGACTCGAAGAGAGTGAAAATCATCGAGCCCCCGATGTCCGCGAGCGCATCGGCGCCATATGTTAGCGTGTAAAAGCCGTTGCTCTATTCTCGCAAAAATCGACTAATAAAAAGGTAACTCGTCGACCTTCGATATAGTCTATGCTTTGCGGCGGCGGCGGCGGCGGCGACTGTGGGGCTCTCTCCGTCTCTCTTCCACGTAGCTCTGTCGGGTCTCTCCCTCTCTCTTCGCTATTTTCTTCTCTCTCTCTCTCTCTCTCTCTCTTGTTCTCCAATCGCGCCTCCTCTGTGTGTGTGCGTATACCGCTGCCAACTTTCACGTATCATAATATATATACAGTGAAAGAATGTGATTTCCCTTTCAAATTACAAAATATGCCATAAGCGCGCAATCTCGCGCGCACATACACACACACACATACGTACACACAACTTCCCTTTCTTTAAATTGGCTTGTCCTTGCGTCATGACAATAAACGAATTCGCGCATTTCTTTTTGCACAGTCCGCCTAAAAATAAAGTTGAAGTCAAATGTCAATTGAAAACGAGCGAACGCAAATGTCATTTGAAAACGTAATTACGTTTTCGAATGTAAGAAAAAAAAAGATATGATTTGTACCAGTTTGACATCTCTTTGTTTTTATGAGAGACAGAGAGAAAGAGAGAGAGAAAGAGAAGAAGAAGAAAGAATCGTTTTCGCGCTGTTATTCAAGAACTTACGTTTTGTTGACAAGCGGAACACGGCGATCTAAAGGTTTAGACTGGAAAGGACAGCACCTGCGACTGAAACCTTGATTGAGATATTACATTGCCATGGCGCGCGCACAATCTGCGCGCAATTTTATTATTAAAAGAAGGACTTGACCTGGATTATCGGTGAAAAAAAAAAAAAAAAAATCGGAGATACCTACGACGATCCCATCCCGATTGCGAATATTTATCCGACGCGTCTTGGTTGAGCGCGCGCGTTATTGCCGCCGGCGACGATTTGTATCATCTTTCACGTTTATTATTAATTTAGACAGAGGATATGTTGGATTTATGCGGGTTGCGATAAAAAAGAACTGGGTCAGGGACACGGATATTGTGCTCGAAGGGAAGTGTGACAACGCTCGTGCTAGTTCTACGCGCGTTAAAAAAGCAAAATCCCGCTCGCTCCGCTCCAGCGCAGCGGTCCGACAAAAATTCAATTTCGCTTTCTTTTGTTTTTGTTTTTATTGATCAATGAAGAAAAACAGTCAGAAATGTAAAATTGTTTCTGTTGTCTGCTGACTCTCAGTAGTTGAGAATATCCCGAACGGCCGCGAAGCAACGCCACTTGTCCGGCAGGTAAAACTGCTCGAAGATGTGCGGGAACGGGCAGTCCCATCCGGTGACTCGTCGAACCGGCGCCTCCAAGTGCAGGAAACACTCCGCCTGAACGTGCACAAAAGAGAAAAAGACACAATAATTCACAATCGGTTTTAATTGATTCGCAACACCCGATTCCGAGTCTCTCGCTGAGTTTCTAATTTGCATAATAAGAGTGACCAATTAATCAATTAACGTGAATTATAATCCGAACCGAATGGGATTCGAGAGAGACGCGAAAAAAATGCACTTTGGAAACCGGTTTCGAATGTCCGGTAAAGTAACGTTATCATCTCACGTGACGTTACATCTCAAGCGCACCGGAGAAACACTCTCAATTTAGCGCGTTGGCTCAGACGTCGGGATCGCGTTTACATCTGCACGTTGGTTGTTGCGTGTTCCTCTCGGAGATCGGTCTTTATATTACCTTTCTACTTGCGCAATGACGGGAGTTTTTTTTCTTATTGTTTCGAGCTCCGAACTTTCCATAAATTTCTCTGTTGCGTGGAGAAAACAAAATTTGTTTCTTTTTTTTTTTTTACCTGCACGGTCGCCGCTATTTCCGCCCCAAATCCGTTCGTCATCGGCGCTTCGTGGGCGATAACAAGGCGTCCGGTTTTCCTCGCCGACTGTAACATTACGCACATATCGTGCGCGCGGTAATTTATTATCGGCCGCTAGTCTGGCGTTGGGTTTAATTTGCGCATGCTGATTTATGTTTTGTCCTATATATTGTTGCGGGTATAATAATAACTTGTGTAACGGCCCGATGCTAAGTGGACGTATTACCGCGACGACAACGACACGGCACGAGCCATTTTGAAACGGCTATCAAGCGCATACACACACACGCACACGCGAACGATCGACAACGTGTACAGAGACAACAACAACAACGGTTTGGTGATTAAAAACGCGTGTAAAAACCATTCCCCGTGCGTATGTGTGCGTCCAGTTGTAAATTATTAACAAAGGTAACCGGATAAGTGAGCGTGACTGAACGTCGATACTGGTTCGTATGACATTTTCGAGTCGGCATAGTCTACGACCTTCCCCGCGACTTTCAGGGGAGTCTTTCGAAGTGGATACAACGCGCACGAAAAGTCTGCCGATTCCGATTTTTTTCAAATCGATTGACAATTCGAAATGAGATTATCTCGACGCTGTCAACGGCATCAATCTCCTGAACCTGACTGTTAAATCAAGCTTATTGGATTCTCTCTTGTGAGAATCCGTCGATTCTTCACGATCATAACGAGACAGGCAACGAGCTCTCGTTGCTCTGTTTCGTCGTCGGCAATTCTTTCGCGCGAGTCTCACGAACTTCTGTTCTTTCCGCGATCTCGTCTCCTTACGAAACTACCGCGGCAGACAGAACGGCGAATCCGCGCGACTGTATCGAAATTGCGGCGAAACGGGTTTCCAATTACGCTCACTTCTCGTCGTCCCCGTGTCTCTCTGTGTGTGTGTGTGTGTGTTGCGCGCACATTTGCGGTATAATATCAACGGCGGTTTGTACAAGAGCGACCGCGCGCGCGCAAGTGCATACCGCGTGTACGATCGCGGCATATCATTAAGCGACCAGAAATCGATTAGCATAAATCAGCGCGATATTAGCGTCGATCCGTGCTATCGTAACCCGAAGGAAGAGTGTGCGCGCACGACTCCGCGACCACTTTTCATCGAACGTCCGATATTTATACGAGAGAAGACGTCGAACGACGACGAACAATACGCGCGAGATTTCTCCCGATATTTTTTCGCGCCGGTACGAAAGCTCATGCAAATCGGCGCGAAAGAGACCCTCTGTAGCAAGACGATCGCGCTCGATCATCTTCTCGAACTGAAAACCGTCGTGTTGTTGTTTTCGGTCGCGTTGACTCTATACACGTTTTACATCGCGAGAACGAAAAAAGTAAGAATCGATAATAATCGCATATCAGAGAGAGAGAGAGAGAGAAAGAGAGAGTCCGCGATCGCCAACACCGATTTCTCGTATTTCTCAAGGAAACGTTCGTAATAAACGCGAGAGAGAAATGTGGAATTGCCCACCTCGCACACGAGTTCCGCGTCCCAAGGTAGGATGGAAATGAGGTCTATCACCTCGCAGGATACGTCGAGCTGCTCCCGGACTAGATCGGCCACCTCCAGCAGTACGTGCACCTGAGTGCCCCAGCCGACGAGCGTCACCGCGTCACCTGCACACGAAGAGAAAACGAAATGTATGTGTGTATACGACATAGTCGTCCTGGAACATCCTGTTTCAGGACCGGTCGAGTGCCTCCGGGCTCACGACGCCGATCACCGATTGGATAATGGAAGGACGATTACACGCTCGGCAAGTTTACATTCGCGTGCGCGCGCGCGCGCGCGGGCATACGATGCAAATAGTTTTACTTTCTACGACTTTGAATAAATAACGCTTTTTGCCACGCGTTATTTTCATCGAGGGCGTGCGTTTAACCACCACGCGAATGTAAAGAGCGCGCGTGCGCATTATGCATTTCACACACCGTCAAGGATAATTTTACAAATCGAATATTCAACTCATCGTGTGCGTAATCGTTTCCGCATTTTTCCTCGACTCGAATGTGTGTCGCAACATCCGCGTAGATCTAATTACATAGTTGTTACATTGAGGAGTTTGCGAGAAAAAACAGAAATAAATAGGAAGGAGCTTATCTTTGTATAATGCGAAAAATATCTTACGATATATCCGAGCACTGCTCGGAACTGACCTTCCCTCACAATCTCAGCTTTGCCGATTTCGATCTTGTAGCGCTCCAAGGGCACCTCGTCAATTGCCGTGCGATAAAGCACTTTCGGCTCGAACATGATACAGGGATCTGGCTCGTCTATGCAGCTCAGCAGCAAACCCTTGGCGTGCGTCGCTCCGCGCGGCACGACGATCTATAACGAAAAGAAAAAAAAATCACGGATTTTCTCTGTATATCAGAAAATCGGGCTCGAGTCTTCTTCCGCGATTTTCGCGCGATCTCCTCGCCGATATAATTGACGAGAAGTCGTCGACAGCGCGCGCTTCACAAGAACCGTGAAATTGATCGGTTTTGGGGGAGGGGAAAAGATCGACGATATTACGGGACACGCTTCTCTCTCGCAATCGCCCGATGTACGATAGTGTGCGCGTGAGCTAAACTTTCTTCATGCATACGCGGAGCGTACACGTCGTACAATATTCATGGAATTTGTGGAAGTTGCGCGAACTCACGGCCGACGAGGAATATCGCGGAGATACCGAAGAATGTCCTTGGCGATAAAAAATTCGGTGGTAAAACTTCCGTGGATTTACACCCACGATGGAAGATTAAAGATACAACAACTATTAATTAGAAAATACTTGACATATAATTGTATTGTTTTTTTTTTGTAGCGCATATAAAACAAAGTGTTAAAAAAAACCGACGATTGTATCGAATTTGCAACAAATTTCATTTGACTTTAGCGACGTAGCTTTCGCGCGAGTTTTGCGCGGCCTCCTTGGATCTCGTGTTACGAAATTGTTCGTTGCAATAAAGAACTCGTTTTTCTTTTTTTATCTTAACTTCAAGATCGAGAAATAATTGCGGCCAACACAGGAAGAGAATGGCCTTTTATAAATTATATCCGTTAAAGAGAAAAAAAATCTAGCACTTTGCACGAACCTTCAAACCAGGTGTGTGCGCGAAGTAAGCTTCCGGGCTTTGTGAGTGATAAAGACCGCCGTGGCCGACAGCTCCGCAGGGTGCGCGAACCGTAAGTTTGCCGCAGTCAAACATGCCGCCGCTACGGTATCTCATCTTGGCCGCTTCGTTTACCAACTGCGGATAAAATAACAAATGACGTGCGTTTTCTTAAGTGGTGCAACATGTAATTACGTATCGTTTGTTATATCCGTTGCTCGTGCGTTCGCGCAATAAATAACGAACATAAGCCACACCTGGTCAAAAGCGGGGAAAATGTAATCAGCGAATTGTATTTCGGCAATCGCCGTTACTCCCATGTTGGCCAGGCCGATTCCGAAGCCGACGATACCCTGTTCGCAGAGAGGCGTGTTGAAAACGCGCGCGGCGCCGAAACGGTTCTTCAGGTCCATCGTGCAACGGAAAACACCTCCGAAAGCCACGTCCTCGCCAAATATGACTAAAAACGCGAAACAGGTTGTGTTGGTGAAGAATTGTTGTATTATTTCAGAAAATATGCAAATTTCTTTTGCACAGAATTAAAAAAAAAAAAGAAGATACATAAAAGTTATTTTGACAAATATAATTTGCAAAAATTTGTATATGCGTTAACAATTTAGAAATGTTTTTTAATGTGACTTTTAAAAAAGTGACTTTAAAAATATTGAAAAAACTAGATATATAACAAATTCATATCTACAAAAATCATATCATACATAGTTCCAAAATTATGCGAAAGCACTACGATATGTCCTGTACGTATACAGAAATAAATAGTCTTATCGAACATTCCAAGAAGAGAGTATGTCAACAGCTTGTATATTATTACCTGTGCGTGGATCGTTTTCCAAAGCCAGAGCAAGTCCATGATTTATAGCTTGATACATGTTCAACTTTTGAGTTTCACCTGAAAAACACAATTCTCTTATATATGACATAGCACACAAGTATAAGTGTAAATTAAAAACAAATATGAACAGATATAAATTTAAATAGCGAAATGACACTGTGCATGTTGTTTGTCAAGTGAAGGATTTCTTTCTGAGAAACGGGAAACAGAATGCTGATATATTCTGCTGATATACACAAAAGAAGGAAGAGAAAACTGATATTAAAACTTCAACTAAAAGGAATATGTGTGTGTGTCGTGTTTATGTTTGCTGACTGTCTCTTCACAGTATATTTCAATGATACAACACTAATATCTTCGAAACAATCAACTTACCGACGACATTTCGCCCGTTGCTCGGAAAATACGTGAAGTGGATCAGTCGGACGTGTTTGAAATCGGCGGAAGTCGCGTTGCAGTTCAAAAACAGTCTTTTTCCGGCGTATCGTAGCCGCGCGCTCAACTTACCGAGCATCGTTTCTCGCTCGAACGTGAAAAGTTTATATTCTGCTACGTATACGACGTATAACACAGAGGTCTTGTTCCTGATTTGCACACAATGAGCCGCGTAAATAATCCAGAACGATCTTTCAATTAGAATTTCGCAAACAGCGTTGTCGCGGCATGATCAAACACTTTGCTTGGGAGGGGAGCGTTGAACGTTGCATCAAAATGGAAACTGACTTTTTTAGCTGCGTTCCAAAATATGCTGGCTAGTGATCTATGGATCCACACCCGGAGTGTGTGGGAGAAGCGAGAACCTTACGAGATAACTCGCTGACCTCAGTAGTTCTTATCAGATACATTGTTTGTGTGTGTTGGTGCGTACACACACGAGCTCACCTCGTAGTCATGAATTTTCGTCGCATAGTTTTCGATAATCGCAACGTCACCACCATGTCGCGGATGATACGATTTTCAATGCAATTTCCGTCTTTCATCCCCGCAAAAGTGTTGAATAAAATAAACTTTCATCTCTGACGAGAGAGATCACTGCAATGATTTCCCTTAGCGAAGACTCGAACTATCGCAGAGAGAGAAAATGTGGTTCTGATTCTTACTACCTTTAGCGAGGACTCGAACCATCTTCGGAGAACTCAAACCTCTTGCGACGTTCTGCGTTCCTGTTAATAAAAGTTCAATTTCACGCCGTTCCGGGAGCGCTTTCTGATTATTTAAGCGTCACCTCCGTCGAACTTATGCTGATCCCGATGTCTGCTGAGTTGGTTCACCTCTTCTCTCTACTTCCCTGGTGGCAGAGCTTTTGTCTGTGATCTCGGTACTTAAAGTTCAATGTTTCTGCCGAAATCTATCGAGAAAAGCATCGACTTAGTGCCACTTTCTTTCAACTTATGTCTCTCTGATAGCGCGAAGTTGTCTGGCGAATTAGTTCACCTCTTCCCTCTACTCGTCTGGTAATCAAACTCTTGTCACATCATGTTATCCTAGTAACATTAGTCGGTATCGCAGACTGTTTCGCGCAATCTATTGTCATAAATTCTGACTTATTTAAGACTCGAGCCAGTAAAGTTTTTAAAATAAACATTGTACAATTTTATGTAAAAAAGTAAAAGTCCAACCCCTAATCCAACCCGATAATGAAAAATTTAGATATACTAGCACAACACAAGCGCGTGCTACGCGCATGCTATTATTATTTTTGTTTTAACGTGTTGTGTCAATGAACACAACCTGCCACCGCGATGACAGCTAGTATATACGCTAAGTAGTGAGAGGGAAAAGTAGAAAACCAACACGTGACTCTAACGTGACTTTACTTCAGTCATGTTTTTACACACGCTTTTTCTGGTAGAAAAAATATAATAAAAAATAAATTACATGGTTGTTGCTCTAATGACTCTAAATAATTAATTAGAAAATTATATAAATAATTTATCAGATTTAAATTATTATAAATTATTTAAGTATTATGAATTTAATCATCTAAATAATCAGTAATAAATTTAATTCTCTTTACAATATTTTATCTCGTTAGATTTTCTACAGAAATGAGCGAAAAAAATTGCTTTTAACGTAAAAAAAAGACAGAACAGATTTATATTATTTTTTTAAGTGAAAATGAGCAATTAATATAAATTGCCGAAGGGTGAGGCACGAATATGAATCTAGCAACAGCAAATTACCATGCGAATATATTCACTTTTTACTCTCGAAATACACTTCACCTTGGTCCGTGATAATCGATCCATCATCTTTGGCGATCGCGATCGACTCGACAAACAGAGAAAAGAACACGTAATTACGCGCGAATAACAGAAGGTATTTAGGCCAACAATCGCTTGGAAGAAATGAGGACAAGCCAAGCTGAAGCCGGGAGATGTGGGATCAGCTACCGGAGCTGATATTGACACAAATATTCAGTTATCTCAATCGCACGGATCGTGTCAGCGTCGGTCATGTCTGTCGATCATGGAATCGCACACTGTCCTCACCTGTGCTCTGGCGATCCGTCACTGTATTCATCGATCGTGACCTACGCGGTGACTTTCCTCTGGCAGGAGAATTAGCCGTAAGAGAATTTGTTTATTAGATTAAGTTTTGCGGCAAGGTAATTTCACGAATCACACAAGAAATCAAACAGATCTCATTTACGTAAGATAAATGTCCCAATGGACCACTTTATTAAAGAGAAATAATTATTAGATACATGAATATTAAACATAATATTCTCAATGTTTTTAATTATATTAGTTTTTATCTCTTCTTAACAAATTCTTTGTTTTATTTACTTTTCTAATAAATGTCTGGCCATTAAAACCTAATTTGTAAATAAATTTAAAGAAAATAAATGTATAGGCGAAGTATGGGCAACACATGCGCAGTCTGGAACTTGCTTTTTCACGGCCGTACATCATGCCAAGGCAATGCAGAGTCGTGCGTAACACACAGGCCGAGGCTGGCGCTGACTTTCTCGCGATCATACGAGCCAAGGATGTACAGCTGCGGCAGTTGACGTTGACAAATTGGGTCTTCGGCTACAAATGGGGCAACAGAGGAGTATTGCTCGGCGCGCTTGCGAGTTTTCTGCGGTGATCAATCTGTTTGCATCTCTGGCCAATCTCGTCGAGAGAGAATTCACTCGTGTGTTGACCTAATTATCTTCTTTTTTTGCGCAGCGGTCAACGTGGTCTTGAGGTCCTGAGCTTGTTGAACGCCGACTTTGGCATCACTGATGTTCTGCGACTATTGGGAACGGTCGCGAAGGGATCGGGCGAGCATTTGGTCTCTCTGGATCTGCGCGGTGCTTTCAGAGAGTGGCAAGCTCCTCACGACAATCCGAAGTAGGTTGAAAGTCCGCGTCAGAAAGTGTATGACTTACAATTAACGCGTTGTACATGAATTTATATTCGTAACATTTATCTTATTACATTTATCAACATGTATAATACAATAAACATCCATCTCATAGATATTTACGATTGCTCGGCCGATTTCACGCGCTGAATCTGTTGAAATTAGACTATCCGGCTTTGTCGAATCACGCTCTGAACGCTCTCGCGAGCGGGGCGCCGAAAACGCTGACGCATCTGTACGTGTCCATACGAGATTCGGATTCCAGGCAGCACACGGTGGCGGACGCTGCCTGGCGCAACTTGGTGGTAGCTTGTCCCGATCTGACGGTGTCCTATACCATAGGTATAATTGAATGTTGCGCTTGTTGAGACTCTATAGTTTCTCTCTCTTTTGATCTTTGAATTTGCTTTTATGTTACATTTTTCGTGGCTGTGTGGCTCGCTTTACAAATTTTTCGCGAGCCAAGGAAATGCAATTGAAAGCGTATAGAATTAAATTTTGCAAATATTTGCTCGCGATTTTCCGCAAACTTGTCTGAATTGTCGCGCCATTTAGCTTTTCAAGTTTGATTTTCAGTGAACATCTCGCACTTCGAGGACATGTGTTACTTGCTACTGCCCAGCGTTCCTCTGGCCAAATTTCACATGTGCAGCGGACACGTGTGGGACCAGAGCAGATCCCGCAACTTCCGAAGCACAATTAATCTATTAATCACTCAGTACACAAACACATTAGGTATTTTACAAACATCTCTCTCGAACTTCTCGAAGGGACATGTGTGTGTGTGTGTGATCGGAGTGTTTTTATGAAAACAACTTTAAATTGCATAAGTTTTTAGCTCTTTTTTTAAATCAATCAAATTATCCTTATAAAAAATACCAGCATTCCTCTGACTGAAAAGATTCTTCTTCTCGTAGACGAAGTCATGCTGCAACTTAGAAACAATCGCGAATCGCTTGACGATTTGTTGGTTTCCATGTTGACGCGTTGCAAACGTTTGACCCGATTACAGTACGACGGGATTGTGAGGAGTCTCGAGACCCTGCGCGAGATATGTCAGCTTCAAGCCGAGCACAAAACTCGTAAGTACACACACGCGCGATAAAATCGCTTGACTCGGCTTGAGAACGAATACAACCGTAAATGAATTTATATAGGCTTTAAGACGATACACATGAAGCCACGGAACATTAACATTCAAAATCGCGCTATACTGCACGACATTAATTACCAGTACGATCGGAAAATGCACGAGCAAGGAGTTGACTTTCGAGTCGAAGATCCCACGTCAATTTTGTTCTTTTACTGACGAGTCCACTTCTTACTTGCGTTAACTGACGTTTTTTTAAGATGTGAAGAAGAATGTTTTATTTTGATATCTAATGTAAAAAAGAAAGAATGTTACACTCATTTTGATATCGATGTTTTCCTACGCTTTACATTATGTAAAAGTGTCTCTTTTTGTATCAAATGATGTCACTTTTTTAAATTAAAAAAACAACTATGTGCGTGTGTAAAAAAAATTGAAAAATATAAATAATAAATATTGTACTCTGAAACTATTGACGGGCTACTGACGGATGACGTTATAAGTTGCATGTCGCGATTGGTAATGTTTTTTTTTTCAAACTACTAAATTTGTTTCACTTGCAAATGCTTTAAAAGTAAAAGCAAAACTAATATAGATATCTAAAAATATAAATTTGTTACTTATAATTTTATCTTATTACTTTATTTTTTTTTTTAGTATTTATATTTTTAAATCGACTGCAGCGTTAGAATAAATTACTCGGTTGTACGTCGTTGTATGCGCTTTTTTCAATATTATATAACGGAAGACGCTCTTGTTACGCATATCACAGGTATACCACTGATGTGCAAGTTTTGATGAACTTTGAGATCCGCCAACGTCTTTTGCTCCATGCCGCATTGAATGCAGAAGTATCGGTGATTCTTTCTGTTCTGTTGCCGTCGTATGTTGTGCTTTTTCGACATGTGACACTCCAGCATGAACTTGTACTTGTAGGTGTTGTCGCAAGCGAAGCACTCGTACCGGTTTCCGTGACTGTTGTATTCCTCGATCTGGCGCTCGTTGTTCGAGACAATCCGTGGACTAGGGTCGGAGTGATGATGCAGACGATTGTGTTCCTCCCAACTGTGTACGTAGCAAGTTAGAAGATCGTTAGAAACAAACGGCAATAAGAACGTGAATAATCGTGCGATCAGTGTTTTGAGAGTCGGGAAACGTTTGAATCGAGGCGCGCATTGATTTAAGAAAGAACAGATGTAAAATTGTCTTGCAGGACACAAATTTTTCCATGCGTTATCGAAAGACATACCTCGTGATGTTGTTAAAGAAGCTGTTGCACATGTCGCACTTCGCAAACGCATCGCCTTGATATTGCACGTAACTGTGCCGCGTCGTCATGTGCTCGATTAGTTCGACTTCGTTGGCGAAATTCTCGCTGCATACATCACACGCGATTCGCGGAACTTGATGACGATGGTTTCTGTGTCTCTCAGCTGTGTCTGGCGCGCCGATATTCGCGAGATAACATTCGTCGCAGGGCACCGTTTCCGACTTCTTCACGCGCAGCAAATATTTCTTGCAGTAGTTCGTCCCGTAGATCTCGTACGTGAACGGTCGACGAACGTTCGAAGAACGATTGTGAGCTGTTCTCAGATGCGCGGCCAGTTCGGTGATGCGCTTGAACTTCTTTCGGCACACCTCGCATCTTGCGATCTTCTCGTTATTGTTGGATCTGCAATCGTGTTTGAAAAACAGCAAATGTTCTAGGTGATAAAGAGTTAATTTTTACACATGTGAGATGGCTGCAATGAGCCGGTCCTACACGGAAAAACAATTATTATGTGACCAGCAAGACAAATTTGCTGTTTTTTTGTTTCATCAAAACAAAACATTTTATTGGCAAAACAAAAAATTCAACAGCAAATTTTTCTTGCTGATCATGTAGTAACTAATCCTCTTGCCATTCTAGCAAACCTTTTTTCTGATCATGTCTAACTCACCTTTCTGTGGCATTTGGCGGCGAATTTTCGGTTTTCAAATCGGCAATGCTGATGACGTGATTGTCGTTCGTCCATTCGCTGTAATAATCGAGACAGATATAACATAAGGAACAGAGAGACGTATAAACAGTTAATTCATTGTTTTGTATAAAACCGAACTCTTCGCCGGAAAGATCGTGTCATATCTCACCTTTCCTCGACGTCCGGCGGCAGGTCTTTGTTTTCGATTTTGAAATCGGTGATGTCGATGGATTGATCGTCGTCCGTCCACTCGCTGCAATAATCGAGACAGGTGTAACAGTATGTCTACAAAAAGCATCACAGAAAGAACGCCGGAAAGAACAGGATTGTGCTTGGCTACGGTTAAAACATAAATCTCGGTTCGATGTTCCTCTTGTTTACGTTACTTTATTCCAAACTATGTAAATATTACACAATCTCAAACAATGCGTTTCAAAAAAAAAAAAACAAATTATCAGAATGTACCAAGTGTTGAATGTTGTTGAGTAGTCAATGTGCTCATTGTATTACAAAAAAAATAGAAATATTACAATCCCTCAACAATCCACAAACCTCAAAACAAAAAATCAGATTCTGAATGAATTTGTATCAAATGTGCTATTTCTTATCGGGTATTTTTTAGTGAATTTTCTGATGCTTCTTGAGCAGAGTGCTAGACACGAATCCCTTGCCGCAGTACGCGCACTTGTAAGGCCGTTCTCCCGTGTGAGAACGCTGATGCAGCACGAACGTCGTTCTCTGCGCGAAACTCGCGTCGCACTGCTGGCAGACGTGCGGCTTCTCGCCGGTGTGCGTGCGCTTGTGAATGGTCAGGTTCTGTTTGCGGGTGAACTTCTGCTCGCACACGTCGCACTCGAAGATCTTCTCGCCCGTGTGGTTGCGCTTGTGCGCCAACAGTCGACTCACAGACGACAATACCGAACCGCACTGGTCGCACAGGTACTTCGTCCGCGCGGCCGCGATCCCGTGCCGATTCTTCACGTGAGTGTCCATCAGTCTCTTGTACACGAATCTCTCCGAGCAGAACGTGCACGCGTATTTTGTTTTCACGCTTCTCTGTTTGTCGGCATGATGCGACATCACGTGCACCATCAGGTTCCTCTTGTGCAGATAGTGTCGGGAACAGTGCTCGCAGCGATACAGCATCTTGTTCGTGTGCGCGATCTGGTGGTCCAGGTACTCGGTCTTGCAGAAGAAACCCTTGTCGCACTTCTCGCACTTGAAGAAGTAATCCTTGGCGTGCCGGCGACGATGGCACTCCAAGTTGGACTTCTGATTGGTACGGTAATCGCAGAGATCGCACGCGAACATCTTCTCGCCCGTGTGAATCAGCTTGTGACGTCTTATGTTCATCGGACTGCGAAACGTCTTGCTGCACTCGTCGCAGCTGAAGGCTCGGTCGATGTTGTGCAGATTCTTCAGATGTTCCACGAGCTTTCGCGTGTGACAGAAGACGGCTCCGCATTTGACGCACTGATGCACGCAGCGCGACTTGCCCCGTCGTTGTCTGAAATAACACGTCTTGCGATAAGAACTTCCAAGAGACAACATAAATCACGAAAGTTTTCTTTAATTTCCAATTCTTTATTCTTACAGAAGCTACCTACCCTTTTCTATCAGCGTCTTCAGTAAGTAAAAGTAACGTTAGAAATATATAGTATTACAAGTTGTTGAAAAAGCAACTTTCTTTGAAAGACCTGACCTTGTTTGTTATATATGATCTTTTTATGTTAAGTCTCTGATTTGTTTACGCACACTCACGAAGTATGAAATCTTTTGTTCATTTTTCAAAATAGAAACTCGAGTTATTCGTAAATAAATAAGCTCGTGAAAAGATAAATCGGGATTTCAAGAACGAGCCAACATGTACAGATTGTTCGTGTTTTATTAAATTTATTGCCACACATATCTCTTCGATATCCCTTCACTTGAATCTTCCACAGAGATTTGAACGAGACGAATTCGAACATTAATTAAATAGTTGATAGCAGCAAACGCCCATATAAAAAATGCAAAGCATAATTTCCGGCCGTCAGAGGAATGATAAAACACTGACAATCAGAATCACTTCGCAGCAAGAGATTAAAAAAATATATTATGCTATGTGTGTCGAATTATTCATTCGGTCTTGATATCCGCCTTTTTCGTCACGTACTCCTTCGTAAACTCCGTGACAATGTTCTTGATGGAAATTACAGGTAAGGGGGGCAGCGGGCCCGGATGTCTCTTTCGGTGACATATCAAACCGGGTTTTTGGGCGAACGCTTTGCCGCAAATATCGCAGATGTAGGGCCTCTTTCCGGTGTGGATCAACACGTGTTGCTCTTGCGTGGTTAGGCGTCGAAACGTCTTGCTGCAAACGGGACACGGGAACGGCTTCACCCCCGTGTGCACTCTCATGTGTGAGTCGAGATCACGGCGGCGGAACCTCTTGCCGCAGGACGAACACAGCACCTTCTCCTTGGTCTCGTGCCACATGAGATGCTGGTCGAGATTCTCCTGCGTGGTCATGCCCCGTCGACATATCCGACAGGTAAACGCCGGCTTGTCGTGCTTGTACTTTATGTGCGCCTTGAGCGCGTGGAGGTTCTTGCACAAGTGACCGCACACGTCGCACACGATCGGCGGAGCAACTTCGCTGTGGTTCTGCTTCACGTGGTGATTCAAGGTTTTTTTTATCTTGAACTGCTTGCCGCATATGTGGCACGCGTAGTCGAAATTGCTCGTGTGCAGCCGTATGTAGTGATTCTTCAGAGTGCCCTTGTTGTTGCTTTTGTACTTGCACTTGCTGCACTCGTATACCTGCTCCATGTGGTGCTTCTCGATGTGGGCGATCAGATAAGGCCGGCGGCTAAAACTTTTCGGACAGTCGGGACACTGGTACCTGTGCTGCTTCATGTGCGTGGCGAGGTTGCTCTTCTTCAAGAACTTGCGGTGACAGTGGTCGCACTCCACCGTTCTTTTGACCTTCGATTCAGTCTTCTTGGATACAATTTGCGGAACCCATTCTATCACCGTGCTCGTCTCTACCGATGCTTCCTCTTTTACCTTTTCTTTTATCTCTCTTATCTCCTCTTTTGTCTCTTCTTGTCTTTCGCCAGTCGCTACTACCATTTTGACAACACCGAACTCAAGGTTTACCAGATCCGTTACGCTAAAACACAAGAAAAACTTGGCGTTATTATTGGCGGTACGATAATTAAGTCGGGACAATAATTATTTTACTCTATTGATTGAAACCTCATCGAGGTTTAGCCAATGCAGAAGAAAATAGGAACGGTTTGACAATTCCACTGCGTAGACAGTTTAATAAATATTCAAAGTGCTTTATTGATAAAATAAATATTCAAAGCATTTTAAATTGCAATCCTTAGGAGAGTCAATAAATATAAATATCTACCTATCTATCCAAAGCATTTTATTGATAAATATTTAAAGTGTTTTATGTACTTTGTCTTTTCAAGTTACCTTCGTAACATTTAGAGGTGTGCTGAGAGAGAAAAATTTCGTATTCGATATCAGCGAGAACACTCGCAACACTCATAAATACGACACAAAATACTCGGTCCACCTAAAAAAGAATGCGTAAAAAATCAGTGTATCATCATTGACGGCTACTTATGACGGCAGGTTGTTATAACTTACCTGACAGTGCAAATAGTGAATATATACCAGGAATAGATCGTGTAGAGTGGAATAACTTGAGCAAAAGTATTGAAAAAAGTGATCTTATATATTTTCTCAACTTCTTTGACTGGACAAAGTTTTTACAATGTTTTATATAAAAAATTACATTTTTATTTCTTACAAAACGCAATAGAAACATAGTCGTTTTTTTTAAGAAGAAATTATACGTAGCAATAACATCAAATAACGCAATAATAATACGTTTTGTTTTAAGTTTTCTAAATAAGAACAACTAGAGAGACACAAGTTTTTTTTTTTTTTTAATCTGATAATTTTCACGCGAATGATGTTATCAATCGCCAATAATCATTGGGACTTCCAACTCGGATCTAACCAACAGTAAGTTGTCGCCACTGTGTGAAGTTTTTTGATTATTTATGTAATTTCTGACAAATTCGCCCACAAGTCCCCTTATGGGTACGTCAGGTACTGTTCCTAATCCTTCAATCTCGGAATGGTCTCGTTTTCTATGAGTAAGCAGATTTTCCCTTCGCGGAAATTTCACCCCGCAGACATCGCACTCGTATACATTGGTCATGTGTACGGTTAAAATGTGGTACACCTGATTCGCACGTCTGGCGAAGGCTTTCTTGCAGATCGGACAAACGTGTGGATAAAACTTGCCGTGAACCAAGGCTACGTGCTCGGTCAGATTACGTCTGTTGTGATACACCTCGCCGCAGGTCGTGCAAATCTCCGCCTGCAACGTGTTTTTGCGCTTTTTGCCCTCGTGGCTGCGCATGTGCATCTCTAGAAAAGCCACACTGGTGAGCTGTCGGGTGCAGATTTTGCATTCGTAACCGGATTTCAGATGCGTGAGTTTAATGTGCGAGTTCAGTGTCACGTAGCTCTTGTAGCTGCGTTTGCAGATCGTGCAGCCTACGGTCAAGGTGGTGTGAAATCTGAGATAATGTTTCTCGATGCGAAATCTCGTCTGGAACTGCTTGTCGCACAGCTTGCAGGTGCTGCAAAACGGATCCAAATGCTTCGTGATCATGTGCTCCTTGATGTCGGCTTTGGTCCAGGTGACAAAGCGACACATTTTGCAGGAATACTTGGGCTCGCCGTGAACATGGATCAGATGATTGTCCCGAGTATTCGCCGCCGAGAAACTGTTGTCGCAGAGTCTGCATTTGTACTTGTGACGCAACATGTGTTTCTTCAGCTCCGCGCTCGTTTCGAACAGAGAGGAGCAAACGTCGCACGCCAAATGAACACGCAATTCCCTTACAGTTCCTGTGTTGCTTCTACTGCTCGCCTTGCTTGTGTTGTTGGCCTCAGCGACACTCGTAAATCCTTCCTCAATCGATGCGACGAAGACTGCTTCGGGTTCTCGATAGTCTTCCTGTTTGATTTCAACTCCCAGAACGTTCGGTAGCCTACAACATAAAGAACTGTTAATGAAAAACTAAAGTATTTTTTTAAACATACAAAAACAAATAAAAATAGTATCTTTAAAAATTACTAATTTTTTTTTTTTTTTAACAGTAACAAAATTATAAATGTCCGAAAAAGTTGAACTGATAATACGTATTTTTTACGCACATTCAAACGTATTATAACACACACGCTTTAACTTTCTTCAAATCAGAATAAACGATCTAGAGCATGTTAAAAACTTGAACAAATGTAAATTTAAACGTGCTTATAAACAAATGAATTTTTCAGTGAAAGGACGCAGAGGTGGCAAATTCCTTGGTTTTTACATGTGTAATTTTTTTCAAAATAAAATACACGTATCATTATTCAAATTTATTAAAAAATCAGTGACATAGATAACATGGATCATTTCTGTTACTTCTTCAAGGATTTACACAGACTGTTTCTTCTTTTAAGAATTTTTTTTTTCAAAGAAAAAGTCCACATACACTCCGAACACTTCGAGATTACTTAAATGAGAAACACTAAGAACGCTTCAATGTATAACTGATAATATAAATCATACTTATCTCTGGTATTGTGATTAGCAACGGTGCGTATGACAAACGTGTTGTTCTTATCTTTGGAGGCAGCAAAAAATTAGCAGAGATCAAAATTCTCGCGCCGAGAATCAATCGAGAGTTTTACATAAGAGAGAATGCAACATTTCACATATTATATCAACTCTTTATACATATATGTATATAATTGGACACATCTACGTTGGTTCAGGACAATTTACAGAAATTACGTCGTAAGTATCTTTCAGATAAAAATTCTACGTATTTTATACCCGCAAAGAAATTAATCCTAAATTTTTACCGTTGGTGCGGAAGTATAACTGTTTTAAAAAAATAAGTTTATGTTACATGTGCGTGTCATGTTACAAATGTGTGTGTGTACTTTATCCTTCGTACGTTAAAAAACTGTTAAACTACACAACTACTCACAAAGACGAGTTGTTGTAAGATTGACGTGTATCGCGCGTGAAGATGAAAAATCGCTTTAATGTGCGACGAGATGTTATACATCGTCGGAGAGATCGAGCGGATATGTATTGTTGTATCACATTCTCTACCTCCTCGTTCTCGTTGCTATTTTCTCTGCGAAGGTGCGCTTGTAACAAGAAGGAACGGTGTATAGAAAAACCTCACCCGAGCGCCACTCGCTTCTCTTTAACGAAATATAAAAACACAGTAATACAGTGATAAAAATTATTGTCTGTCGCACAACAGCTTCTCTTTATGTAAAATGTTTTTAATTAGACACCGTAAAAAGAGATTACTGAATTGATGAAATAAATAATCGGCAAAACTGATGTATCTGTAATTTTTGACAAAAAAACGCTATAATATATTTGTTATATATTTTTATTTTATTTTATTTTTTTCAAATCACTTTAAAGAAATAAACAAAAGTTTGGTTTTTCACTCGTGATAAAATATTCAAAAATCGATCAGAGAAGTCCGAGTAAAACGGCGAACGGAAAATAGCATTTCTGTATTTAAAAAGTACAATATTTATACAATTGCTAATTGTTACTTATATACGCTCTGTACAGTTTACACGTATAGTTTATGTCTAGTTTGTTTCTCGTATCTATTTAGTTATTCTTAAAAAATTTCGATATACAGACAATTTTTTCGCTGCTTCTCTGGCACCGATTGTTAACTTCTCTAGATGGGCTTTGACACACACGTTACACCGAAACATTCTCAACAATAATCGTCTTCTGTACAACGCGTCTTCTGTAGTAAAAGTCCATATTGTTTTATTCAAGAAGAGGCTCAGACGTTCGGATCCAATGTGCAAAATTTGAAGCAAATCGATGATCCGAATCCGTCTCGAGCCTTTCCTTGTTAGTTTTCTTTTCGAAGTTTTAGTGAAAATGATTTATTTCGTAATCAGCGTATCCAATTGTTCGATCTTTTGGAGATACAGGGAAAAAAGTTCTGCGTACAACAAACCAATTCGATATCTTGTGAGACAAAGACAATGATAATTGAGACAATTTTATATAAGATTGCCGTGTATTCATACAATACGTAACCAACTTTGTTGCGCTACTCTTCGGAATCGATTTAACTCGAAATGTATTCGATTAATTTTCATTTTTCCTCTTCCTTTAAAAAAAAAAAAATAATAAATAAATAAGAAAACACGGCGCAATTCAAAAGTATTCCGATTGGAATCCGTAAAATCACACAGCAGTCACTCAGATGTAGAATTTGCGATCATGGAGTTTTTGTTTTTTTTACCTATTTATGTAACTTTTCGGAATCAATTTTCACCATTACTGTATCGTCTGTTTCTTTTCTCTCGAAACAAAAAGAAAAAGGAAAGACGAAAAAAAAAATCGAAATCATTTCGAGTGGAATCTCGACTTCGAGAATTTTACGCGATAGCCAAATCTAAAGTTGTCTTTGGTGTCACAACAGAGCAACAATCAAAAAGTGATTTAATCGAAGAAGCACACAATTGCTCGATAATTCAACGATTCTTACGATCCTGACTCGAGCCCGCGGCACGCAATACTCGTCTTCGCGCTGGATCGCACGCGAGCAACAATTCCACGAATTCAAGATCAAGCAATTGATCGATTCTGCTCATACGATTCGGCACACGAGAAACAAATATCGCGCGCCGCGGGCTTTACTCTTAAACGGAAATCGAAAAAAAATCTGATTTTTGCACGAAGATTTCAATAAAGTATAAGTGCCACAAATATTAGCTTTTATTGACTTTCTCAACAGAACCTGACTGCAAGTACTAGAATCTAGTTATTAAAAAAAAAAAACTTTCATCTTCTAAAATTAGGAGATGCGACAAAATCTTTAAAAGCAGATACAACATATCTATAGATTGTGATACACTTTCGTCATCTAGCAATGCGTCTGCAAAACAACTTCAGGTTACGTAAAGATTACAATAAAGGTTCGCGTGTAAGCAAGGTGAGAACAAGAACTTTGTTTGACTCTATATATATTTGTATTTACTATACAATCGCATCGGACTTCAATCGCTTCCAGCAGCGAACAACCGAATGTAACTGTTTGCTCTTAATCCGACATTGAAGTGTCATTGAAGTCTTGCGCAGAAAAATCACCTGGCTTCACACGTTTGGCGAATCGAACGGTGAATTTTCACGTTTCCTCGTCGATCTTCTCCTCCTCGTTGTCCTGCGCGTTAGACTCGTTCTCCTGCGCGTATCCCTCGGTAAATTCCTTGACGATGTCGCCGATCGGCATGACGGGCAAGGGCGGATGGGTGCCGGGATGAGTTTTCCTGTGACAGATCAGACCCGGCTTTTGCGTGAACGCTTTGCCGCAGATGTCGCACACAAACGGTCGCTTGCCGGTGTGAATGAGCAAGTGCTGTCGCAACTGCGATCTTCGGGCAAACGGTTTGCTGCAGATTATACACGAGTACGGTTTGCATCCCGTGTGCACGACCATGTGCCTCTTGAACGAGTCCTTCTTCGTGAAGGTCTTGCCGCACTCGGCGCACACGATCTTGTCGCGCTTCTCGTGCTGCGTCTTCAGATGTTGATCCAGATTCTCCTGCGTAACCATGCGCCTGTGGCAGATGTGGCACTCGAACTTGGGCTTGAAGTGCGCCCACTTCTGGTGCACGTACAGAGAACTGCTGTTCTGACACATTTTGCCGCACACGTCGCACTTGACCGGCTTCTCCTTGTGATGGAATCGCACGTGATTCGTCAGATCGCCCTTGACCTTGAACTTCTTCGAGCAGAAGGTACACTGGTACTCGTATCTATCGGTGTGTTTTCTGATAAAGTGTGATTGCAAAGAGTGCTTAGATCTGCAGGTGAAGCCGCAAACTGTGCACGGAAACAATCTCTTCATCGACCGTTTTCTCGACCAGGTCTCGTGATTCCTCTCCAGATGCGTGGCGAACTGAGCCTTCTTCGTGGTGCTGTAATCGCACACGGCGCATATGAAACTGCCGTTCTCTTTTATACACTTCTGCTTCTTGTGAATCCACGCTACGTGCTTTCTGCAGGATATCTCCGTGACGAACGTCTCCGAGCACAGTTTGCACTTGATAGACTCACCCTTTGCAGAAGGTTGCGCGGATTGCGTGACCACGTTGTCGTCAACAGAATTGCTCACCAGTTCTTCCTCGAGATACTCCACCTCACCCTCGTCGTTCGACCCGTCCTCTGTTTGACGATCCTCTTCCTCCTTCGTGGACAGTTTCTCGAAGAACACGTTATTGCCCTGCACCTTTAACTGATAGAATTCGTTACTCTCGTCAACGGGTTCGCCGTTCAACAGAATCGGCTTTACCTCTTCGTAACTTTCATTGAGAACAACCTCTTGCAATTTTTCATCTATGGAATCGTAACGCGAGACTTCATCTTTGAAAAGCTCCTTCTTCATCCCGTTCCTGACATCGCTTTCTTCCTCGTCCGCGTGACTTTCTAGCTCCTCGAACGACGAGTCCTCCGCGCGCATCTGCGCGTCCTCGTCGTCTATCAGAGGCGCGTCCTCTTCCGGTATGAAAGCGTAATACGGTTTGCCGTCGAATTCCAAGATCTGCCACTTCTTCATCACCACGGACTCTTTATCAAAGATAAAAATACCCCGAGCATTGTACTCGTCTTTTGCGCACCTGAAACACGTAAGGAACGCAGGGATTAATACGCGAAATTGCGACAATTTGGCATTTGAATTTATGCTACGAAAATTTGATATTAATTTTCTAGAAAACAAAATTGTTTTTGAAGAAAAAATCAGATCAACGAAGGTACTCACAACGGGGAGTGAAAAAACTACCTTTCTCGTCGATCTCGCAGCATTGCAGCCCAAAATTTATGACCTGCATGTTAAGTTGTTGTACTGACAATAAGTAAAATAAAATTAAAAAAATATAAAAAAAATAAAAATCGGGAAAGAGATTCGGAATATACGAGTGCTTTAATTGTAAGTGAGAAAAAATATCGCAACATCCAGTGAAATATACATGTATATATATGTATATATATATATATATATTGACAATTTGCGCACATGTGTTGTCTTATTGCTAAATAAATTGCGTAAGTGTGCAAAAAGAGAAAATCAAATCGCTACGAAATACATCCAGGACGTATACAAAATATCGAGAGTTGTCTTCTCCTCTCGCATATAAACTCGCTCGCGTTAATTGTATACAAACGGATATCACATCGGTTTGCGAACTAATAACGCTCGTAACTTATATACGACGTGAGAGATGTGATTCCTCGCAACACATCAGTTTTAACATTCATTATAAAAACACGTTTATTTCCCAGAATAAAAACCCTAAGCTGTTGTGAAATATGTAACATCGCAAAGACACAACATTCTCGTTTGTCCACACTAACGTAGTTTGTTTGTTTTTGTTTTATTTTATATTTGCAACACTCTCCGGATATACATAAAATCGAATGCGTAAAACATGAACTATAATAAAGTTCGATAACGTGACAAAACTTCTTACAAGATCTTAAATACAAATTGTCGTGTCAACATATTTAAAATCCACGATTTGATTTTTCAGCGATTCTTCACTAACCTTAAACCATATCTAATAATTAATGGATACTTGAGAATCGAACACCAGGAAATAAAATAAAGACAAAGTAAATATCTCATTAAAACACGTTCGATTGTTCAAGTAGTTTTTATTTCTTTGTGAACTTGTTCTTGAGTATATGATCGATGTGCATCACCGGAAGTGGCGGAAGATTGCCAGAGTGGGTCTTTCTGTGGCAAATAAGACCAGCCTTCTGCGTGAACGCCTTTTCGCACACGTCGCACTTGTAGAGCCGTTCGCCGGTGTGCAGAAGCAAATGCTGACTGAGGCTACTGTGTCTGGCAAAGGCTTTTTCGCATTCCGTGCATTTGTACGGCCTGTCGCCCGTGTGAATCCTCATGTGCTTTCTGAGATCGTAGCCCTCCTGAAAGGTCTTGCCGCACTCCTCGCACATCGTCTTCTCCTTCTTTTCGTGCTGCGTCACTATGTGACGATCCAGATTCTTCTGCGAGACCACGCGTCTCTTGCAGATCGGACACTCGTACTTGGGCTTGTAATGGGCGTGCTTCTGATGGGTGTACAGGCTGTGACTGTTCCGACAGCTCTTGCCGCACACGTCGCAAATCACGTTCGTCTCTATGTGCTTCAGCCTGATGTGCGTCGTGCGATCGCCCTTGATCTTGAATTTCTTGTCGCAGAAATTGCACGAGTACTTGTACGAGTACGTGTGTTTGCGCACGAAGTGCGAGTTCAGAGTCTCCTTGCGAGCGAATATCTGCGCGCATATGGAGCATACGAACTCGGGCTCGTTGTTGGCGACCGCGTCGTTGTCGACTATATCGTCGACGGCCATGTTTTTGGCAACTATGTCGTCGGTCGCGGTCTCCTCGTGCTTCTCGGCCAGATGCGCGATCAACGTGGATCTCTTTTTGCATCGAAAATTGCACCTCGTGCACGAGATAGCTTCTTGATTGCGCGGTTCTGCGTCAGAGAACGTGGTGGTGGGTGTTTCCTTCTTCGTCGTGGTTTTGATTTTCTTTACGTGCGCGAACTTGCGTTCCTCACTTACGGGCAGTATCAAGTACTTGTTTAGAAAATGCGTAGAAGCGACATTGCCTTTCAACACCACGGTTTTGCAGATGTTCTTGGTTTCACTTTTTCTGCCTTCAGTGATAGACGCTATGTCTCTGAGTCTAATTGTTACTTTCTTGACGGACTTGTCCACCGATCGTCCCCCTTGTTGTTTCCTACAACATCACAAAAGAACATCTTTATTACAGTTCCACAGTTCGGGAATTTGTCGTATCTTTGATTACTTACATTCAAATACAAAGTCTGTGAAAACACTCTTGCGCAAGTGAGTTTAGTACTATTTTAAGTCTCCCTTCTCTTGGGATGTAAAAAACAGAGAAACAATATTAAGTACAGAAAGGATATGCGGTTTAACACGTAAAACAATATCTATTCGTCGCAATATATATATATATATATATATATTCATTTTCTTACAAAAGTCAGCGCAAACATAATGCGGTAACAAATGTTTCCCAATTTCAAAACACAAACTTTTTCAATATTCACTAAATTATAGAAACAGAAAGACGTAGAAAGAAAAAGATAGAGATAGAGACAGTAAAAAATTTTAAATTATCATAATCGATAAATTTATTCACGCACGCACCAATTACTCGTGTCACGTGCACGTGACCGTTCTTGTACGGTTACGCGTTTGTGGTTATAAAGATATTTTTACGTAGTAAAAATCTTGTATGACATAAAAAATTAAATCTATTCGTAAAGACATTTTCTCAAAACAGCTGTAGCTTGTGAAAACCAGTTGGTCGAGATTCAATAATTGAAGTTTCCGCGCGGAAACAACTCAGGAAAAAATTCTTTGTATATGAACAAGTTCAATATATAATTATGTGGAAATCATACACGAACGTCTCAGTCTCGTATGTGATTACACATAAATTACATACGATCAGATAAAACCAGATAACGAGTTCATCCATATACGACGGGCTTTTTCTTCCTCTCAGAACATATGAAATTTTTATTTACAGTGTCTCACATATGGTTTTCTTTATTAAAATGCAATACAGTTCTGTTTTGTGTGTTTTACTTATTATATTTAACACGTTATGATAATTTACATGTATCTTTAGACACAACAGTTTCGTATAACTATTTCGTTTTTCTTTTATTAGCAATTATTTAATATCGATAGTTATACTCGTTACTTTGTTTTACATCATTTTTATGTAAAGTCAACACTTAACCTGCGACATCGCTTTTACACTGCTCAGTTGGCTTGTTATTTATCTGTATGAGAAATATTGTTTTTATTATATATAAGAATTCAACATATAAGTGACTGTATCGATTCTTATACGTGATATGTAAAAATCGAGACAAACTTCGAGAAAAACATCATTTTTGACGATTGTGTGTGTATTGTATACACGGTGTTCAAAACTAAAAGGCTTGAACAAAATTATAAAAACTTTGAATTTTCCGAGTTTAAGTAGAACATCAAGAACTCTGTTCGTTTTTAATATTCGCCTTCTCCTTTTTCATAAAATCGTTAATAATATGGTCGATGTACACAACCGGCAGGGGTGGGTGCACGCCGGGATGTGACTTCCGGTGGCATATCAATCCGGGCTTTTGTGTGAAGGCCTTGCCGCAGATATCACATATGTACGGCCGTGCTCCCGTGTGGAGCAACAGATGTTGTCTGTAAGCGGTCCTGCGGGCGAAGGCCTTGCCGCAGATGTGACAGGGATGAGGCCGGTCGCCAGTGTGAATCATCATGTGCTGCTTCAGACGATGATTCTCCGTAAAGGATTTGCCGCACTCCTCGCACACGAAGCACTCCCTGCGCTCGTGTTGCAGCAGAATGTGCTGATCCAGATTCTCCTGCGAGACCATGCGTCTATGACAGATCGGGCACTCGTACTTCGGCTTGAAATGCGCCCACTTCTGGTGCACGTAAAGCGAATTGCTGTTGGAGCAGGTTTTGCCGCAGACGTCGCAGATTATCGGACTCTCCTTGTGCTTGAAGCGTATGTGCAGCCTCATGTCACCCTTCACTTTGAATCTTTTGCCGCAGTATTCGCAACTATATTTGTACTCGGACCCGTGCTTTCGGTCCATGTGCTCCTGCAATCGCCGTCGGCTTTGGCATCTAAAGTCGCACACGTCACACAAACATTCGTCCGATTTGCTGTTTGCACTCTTCTTGCGCTTTTGGCCTTTTTGCATTAACACGTGATCCCGGGGATGTTTTCTGCTGACGTGCGACGAGAAGGTCGATTTGTTGTTGCTCTCGAAATTGCAGAACTCGCATCTGTACATCACGTTCTTCTCGTCGTCCTGCCCGTCGTCCTGCCCGTCGGTCTGTCCGTTTTTGTGCACCGTATCCAAATGCTTCTGCAGCATTTTCATAATCGGGAAATAAATGTTACACTTCTCGCAGGAAAAGACGTTTTCCTCCTCCTCTTCAACGTAAATCTCCCCGTCTTTCAAAACATTTTCTTCCTCCTCTTCATTCATCAACATTGAGTTTTCGCTTTCTATCTTGACGGGAAACTCGCCCATTATGTCCTCTTGCGTCTTATCATCTTCCACTCTGGTGAATACAAAATCTTTATTGCCTTCTACGTCGGTGCTCCACGTGTTCATAGTTTGCTTTTGGTCTTCTTGTTGACTCTCTTCTAACATCTTTGGTGTCTGATTCACTGGAAGGAAGGCATAATAGAGACATCCTTCCAAATCGACTACTTGCCACGGTTGCATCTGAATAGATTCTTTCCCAAACAGAAAACGTCCAATCCCGTTTAAGATCCTGAAAATTATACAATATGTTAGGAAATTTTATTATCAAATGACGAGAGATTTACAATAGTATATTTACAAGATTGAAGATCTTTCTAATCTACAGACGAACATTTGGTTTGAATTCCAGGAAAAATAAGAATTTTTGTTTTTTATATATGTATATGTATATGAATGGATGAGGTGCGTATCGGATAAAACACTGTTTCAGAGATTTTGATAATTATTTATATAATTTTAACAAGATTCACACAACAACTTTCTCTCTAATCCCTTAAAATTAATTGAATCAATAGCGACGACATTCACAGTTATTCTTACATAATAAAACACTAACAAAATTTATAATAACTTACAGACTTTGTACGTGTATATAATTGATGGAGAACGAAGTCGTAGCTAGGTCTAAGAATCAACTAAGTCTGACTTATAAATGTACACATTTCGCACTAAATGTATATAAAAGATACTGTAACATAAAAAGTAACCATTTGAAGCTTGAATGTCTCTGTATTACGTCAGTAAAATTATTTTGAAATTATCTTGAAGATCTGTTTTAATGTGAGGTCTTCTTTGATTGGCAAATAAACTTTGATAAACAAATTGCTATGTCAGTAACACAATGTGTGACAAAACATCACTAACACTTGACAAAAAAAAAAAAAACAAACAAACACGTGTGTCGAACGTACATGTCATGTAGACAGTAAAGTATCCGATGTAACAGTACAGAAGCGTAGAATAAGATACAACAAGAGAGAGATATAAAAGAGGAATTTTATGTATAAATTTCGTAATAAAAAATTCTTTGTAATATTGTATGCACTACTTGTTTAAGTTTTGAGTCATGTTGTATATATATATTATATATACATATTTTATATACAGGGTGTCCCAGAATTGGTTTAACATCGCTCGTACACAGGTAGAAGGAATAAAACTAAGGTGTAAAGTCCTATACCATTTTGCTAGATTCGCAATAGTTACCGAGATTTTAATTAACAAAGATCCGCGAATAAGCGTGCATCGGGCTGTCTTACGCGCGTAGGACAGCCCGG